AAACAGACTCTCCTTCCTAGAACCGTGGAATCCTTGCTGAAAGGAAACTGGCAGACAATAGGCTTCACCACCACAAGCTCATGAATTGACAGCCCTTGTTTATTTTGCTGCAGAATCAATTTTGTCTTTGACAGTCCAGTGTTTGGCAGGAGTTTATATTCCAGTTTCAGTGTTTGGCATGTATTAACATAAATACACGTGCATCCAACATCTCTTAGCTTTCTTCTGTGACAGGAAGGGGTTACTAGATGCTGGGCTGAAGGAAAGGAGTTTTATGTTTGGCAGCCCAGGCTCACATGATGCTTCGAGATGCCAAGGGGGACCCAGTTCCTGCTGTTATTCCATTCAGTTATCCTCAGCATGAGCTTCTTGCCTCATGGTCACAAAAAGGCTGCTCCATCTCCAGCATCAGATCAGCATTGCAATCGAGCAAAAAAGAAAGGGCAAATGGGCAAAGGTACCTGATGATGACTCAGCTGTGCTCCTTTTAAGGTGCTGTCCTTGGAGCTCCACCCAACAACTTCCTCTTGTAGCTCTTGGCCTGGATGTTGGCACACAGCCATCTTTAAATGCACACAAGGCTGAGATATGCACTTCTTTAAAGACGATGTATTAGTCCATTTTCACATTGCTGATAAAGGCATACCCAAGACTGGGCAATTTACAAAAGAAAGAAGTTTAATGCACTCACAGTTCCACGAGGCTGGGGAGGCCTCACAATCGTGGGGGACGGTGAAAGGCATGTCTCACGTGGCGGCAGACAAAAGAAGAGAGCTTGTGCAGGGAAACTCCACTTTTAAAAACCATCAGATCTCATGAGACTGACTCACTATCATGAGAGCAGCAAAGAAAAGACCTGCCCCCATGTTTCAATTATCTCCCACCAGGTCCCCTCCACAACACATGGGAATTCAAGATGAAATTTGGGTGCAGACACAGCCAAACCACATCAGACAGCCATATGGCATTCCCCAAGAAAACAGGGATTCCAGACACCAGAAGAAAACTGATACTGGGAAGCGAGCATCCTCTGCTGGGTGCTTTCCGGGTTTCTTCACAGGCAGGAAAGGGAACAAACTTTTCTAAGGACTTTTGATAACATGGGTAGGCACAGAAAGGGGGTTGCCAGAGCTGTAAAGCAAGCACAACTTGGGTTAACCCACCTGAGCAGCATGCTGGGTGCTCACAAAGGAAAAAGTCCTTTCCTTCAGCCGCACATCTAGTGACCCCTTCTTGTCACAGAAGAAAACTAAGAGATGTTGGATGCTCATATATTCATGTTAAATTCATCACCTTTTCTCTTCTTCGAAGATAGATATTTAAGAATAGCAAAGAACAAGGAGGGAAAAAATAAGAAATTCTACCTTTAAAGTGTGTGCACCTGTTGGAGAACCACACAAAGCATACACAGGATAGGATATGCATCTGCTTTGTTTTCAGCCAGCCAAATCAGGCAATAGTAGCTCTGTTGCCAAGGGAAGCTCTCTTAAGGCAGCATGTTAATTGCACAACTAATGTGTGAGTACAGTTCCCTTATTTTACAAAAAAAAAAAAAAATCTAGTAAACCTAAAATACATGTGACCATCCCAAAGATCTCATATCCCTTCTACTCCTCTTAGGTAATCACTTTTGTAAGTGTGATTTACTGTTTATAATTTTTTTCTAAACATTTATGTATATGTGTGGTGAGTACATATTTACACACGAACACACATAAATATATACATATATACAATCATAGTGTTGTGTTTCAGTTTTTTGTTCTTGTTATTGTAACTTAATTATTATATTACATTTATTAATATTTTCTGATAATAATAGAATATTAAATATCATATTTAAATATACATTTCATTCATTTTAATATATTAAAATTAATTTAATATATTAAGCTATACTGTTATATAAATATTAATATCACTATAGTTGTTTTAACATAATTGTTTTAGCATAAATGATATGTTCCTTGTGTGATAATTGTGTAATAATGGTAACTATCTACACAATATCCACTCTCGCCTCCTTCCTTACTTACTGAATACTAAACTTGTTGGAGGTGGCAATGTGCCCAGCTAAAAATACAGATGCTTCTCTACCTATGATGGGGTTATGTGCTGATAAATTCATCATAAATTGAAAATATTCTAAGTTTGAAAATACATTTAATACACCTAACCTATGACACATCACAGCTCAGTCTAGCCTACCTTAAACATGTTCAGAACACTTACATTAACCTACACCTGGGGAAAATCATCTAAAACAAAGCCTATTTTAGGATAGAGTGTCGAATGTCTCATGTAATTGATTGAATATTGTTCCGAAAGTGAAAAGCGAAATGGCTGCATAAGTATTCAAAGCACAGTTTCTACTGAACGGGTATCACTTTCACACCATCATAAAGTGGAAAAATCCTACGTTGCAGTATCCTAAGTTGAGGACCAAGTGTAATCTCCTTCCCAGACCCCCTTGTAGTAGGTGCAGTTATGAGCCAGGATGGCAAGAATGTATAAACTGATGTTCACTGAGTTACCTGAGCCAATAAAAAAAAAAAAGATTAAGTAAATAGACTTACCTAATACAGACATTTTGCCCTTAATTTGTTTCTCCTGGAACTCAGATGCAATGGCTCAATGGGCAGCAGCTTTGTTGTGGTCACAGGCATGAAGCCCTTTAGTAGAGCTGGTGGTACAGAAAGATACATGAGTGCGGGGTCCTTCGTGAATTCACAAAGCCGTTGAATAAGCTTGGGTAGTGTTTCTCTAAAGTTCTGTGGGGGGAAGAAAACTACAAAGAAAACGTAATTATATTGTCGTGGTTATTTGTTTTTATGTAATTAACATTGTTTTCACCCAATAACACATCTTGGAGATCTTTCTATGCTAATACGTGTAGTTCTCCTTTCTAGCTGCTTCCTAATAATAGTAAAAAATTAATAGGTAGCTGTAAGTGGGAGTTGAACAATGAGAACACATGGACACAGGAGGGGAACATCACACACTGGGGCCTGTCGGCGGGATGAGGGGCAAGGGGAGAGAGAGAATTCCAAATGCTTGCATGCATTAGACAAATACCTAATGCATGTGGGTCTTAAAACCTAGATGACGGGTTGATGGGTGCAGCAAACCACCATGGCACGTGTATACCTATGTAACAAACCTGCACATTCTGCACATGTATCTCAGAACTTAAAGTAAAATATATATATATATTAATAGGTAATATTTTTGAGGACCTACTATGTGCCAGGACTGAGCACTTTGTATTTAGTAAGTTGTTTCATCTTCAAAATGGTCCCAAGAGGAGTGTGCTGTTATGAAGCTCCTTCTACAGATGGGAACAGGGGCGCAGACAGGCTGAGTGAGCACCTACCTTCACAGCTAGGAAGTGGCCAGGCTGTGTGTGATGGGAGCCCGGTAGGCTGGCCTGGAGCTGCCCTCTCCACGGGGCCCTATCCTCTGTCTCTCTTCTCTCTTTCTTGACTGCGTTCTCTCCTGGGGTTTGCTGTGTTCAGGCAGTTTATTGTGGATAGGCTCTTCTATTATTTCCTATCCAGCGCAAAGCTGCAGTGGACACAGCCACGTCTGCCTGTGCCCAGGAGTGGAAGTGACCCTAGGGGAGCCACTGGCCAGGGAGTATCTTAGGTCAGCAGATGGCACTCAGAGGCTTCAGTGGCTTCCAATCAGGTGCCCCCATCACACATCAGCAGCTCTGATGTGCTGCTGCTCCCCCCAGCCTCACTGGCCCTGGGGTAGGGTAGCCTTCTCGTAGCTGGGCTCAGGACATCTCTCTGCCCCTCCCACATGGGTAGAAGGTGGTTTCTTCCCCTTCCTCCAGCTAACTGTGTCTCCACCGGTGTCCAGGGACCATAGGGTTTGCTTGACCTGAAGGTGTTGGTCCCATAATGGAGAGAGAAAGGTCTGAGTGGGGCTTCGCCGTGTGTCTTCTAACATGGTTCATTCCATCTCCGTTGTGAGTGCCGTTTTTTGTGGTTTGTGAGTTTGCAAAGGAAGGCGCATCTTTCTGGAACAATTGCAACCGTCAGAAGCCTTCAGCACCCAGCCGCAGCAGCGTAGCAAGGCAGGCGGCAATGAAAGGTCATACGAGGGGGTCTCTAGTCCATAGGGAAACTTACAAACCACCATTAAACAAAGCGGGTCTGCTTTTTGCTCTTACTGTGGGTTCGCAATTTGGAATAACAAGTTGGTTCCCATGGAGGTGGACTGCTCTTGCCCCTCCCCTTGGGACATTGCCTCCTCCAGCACACCTCCCTCTTCTGCGTTCCAACCTTGCACTCCTGCAGTTTGGAGTCCACTTGCTTCTCTCCTCACATGGCCACCTTCTACTTCTAAACAATGATTAGGGTGCAAGTCTGCCCTCACCTGTCATATCATATGCCCATGCTGACTTCTTCCCATCTGAGCCCTTCCCTATTGCGACAGGCCACCTCCCCTCTGCTCAGCCTCCCATGAGTTTGATAAACACAGTTTAATTATCTGTGTGCTCCCTACAGAAGCAAGGCAGCATGGGGTACAGACAAGCCTCTTAGTTAATGTTGATGGAGGGAAGACTGTTCCTTATCCTATCCCTCTGTTGATTTTTTCCCCCGATTAACGTTAAGACTGAGATGGATGTCTTGCCGATGCAATATTAAATAAGAACTGCGATAAGCTCAGGGGCCTCATCCATCAGACAAGATGCTGAGCATCAGTCAGTTAAGAATGATAAGAAGACATCTCAGGCTGGCTCGAGCCATGGAGGAGAAAAGTGCAGGGGCCTCCAGCTTCAGGCGCTGCTGGATTCAGGGGCTCCATCTCCTGACCTTTCTTTCCATGATGCTAACTGTACATACTTGCAAGCTGGCATTCAGCATCTCTAGACTGACCTGAGCATCAGCCAGTGATAGTTCTGCAACCTTTGTGTCTACCAAGGACTGACACTCTCTCTGCACAGGGTAAAATAGAGCCAGAGTGAGATACAAATTTGAAATAAAGCCTAGGTCCTTTTGTAGTCCATAAGGGTGATGATTGGGTTTTCACGCTCATGCGTGAGACGTGTCTCCCTCAGACCTTGTTATGATGTTGGCACCTTGCCCATCTGATGTGAAAAATAAGAAATGAATAAAATTTAAAAATACATAACATGAAGCCTGTGCTGTGAGACCGGATAGCGCAGAAGTGAGCACAGGGATCCTGAGTTCAAATTCTGATTTCAGAATTCTTAGCTGTGTGACCTTGGCTGAATTACTCAGTCTCTCTGGGCTTCAATCTCTGTATGTGAAAATTAGAGATAATAAAAATACTTCATGCATAGGGTTGTTGAAAGTACAAAGAAGTCGATATATGATAGGTAGCACCTGGACCGACACGGTGCTGATTGATGGTTTTACTGTTGTCCTCCTCCTGTCTTGTCCTCCTCTTGCCTGTCTTCTCCTCCTGCCTGTCTTCTCCTCCTCCTGCCTGTCTTCTCCTCCTCCTGTCTTGATAATCCAGGTGTCATAAGGATAAAAGATTTCACCTCCCACTTAAGGGATATTTTTCTCCATTGACTGTTCAGAATTCTCCCTTATAATTCCCCATTCCCTCTTGGAAAGCTCAGTTTAAATGTCCTTTTCACACGTTAAAGGCTATAAAATGAAAGAGAAAATTGATTTTATCTTCTGGTGTATTCTTTTCTCTTTTTGTTTACTCAACCATCAGGAAAGCATTTTCTACTTTGTCCCCTAAGACTTGTCATTAATATAATCATTCTAAATGCTGATATAACCAAACAAAACTACAGATGCTAACTAGCAAGCAGATGAAACTTACATGTGGGGGGAAAATGTGGATGACTCAATGGTACATACAAGTTTTTAATTATCTGTAATTAGTGGGAAAGAAAATATGTGGACTATATTAAAAATAAGCTCTTTATTTTTGAGGAAAAAGACCATCATAAAGAACAGGAATGCTCTCCTTTTTATTTATATGAATTGAGATAATTGGGACTCTCAGGATTAACGTAAGTTTCCATCATAAATAATACCACCATCTGTGATAAATGGATGCCTCTCTCTTTGAATAGATACAGCGAAACATTCTCAAACCATATGCTATGTGAGCAGCAAATGCAGATATTTAAATTCTGCTGTAACATGCTTATATTATACAACTCTAAACCCTCCTGATTTTTTTTTTCTTTTTGGTTTCCATTTCGAAACTGTTTTGGAGGCATAGTAAAAAACATGTTTACATTTTGAATCAAAGAGGTAAACCCGGTCTGTAATTCAGATTGTAAAATGCGCTGAAGAAACACTAAGAAAGCTCTCCTATGCACTAAACACGACTCAGAAAGGCTTCCTCTCTCTCAGGGGTCCTCACACCATGGCCTGTGGGTCAAACCAGCCTACCACCAGTTTTGGTGTAGTGGCGTGAAAACTAAGAATTTTTTGTGTGTTTTTATGTCTTTAGATAGTTGCGAAAAAAAATTGTTTGATAGAGTGGTAGTCTTTTTGACATGAGAAATTCAAATTCTAGTGTTTAAAAGGAAATTTCCTTGGAACACAGATCGAGTCTTTTATTTACATTTGTCTCTGGCTGCGGTCACAGAGGGTTGAGGAGTTGCAACGGAGACCGTTTGTCCCCGAAAGCCTGAAATATCTACTGCCTGGGCCTTTACAGAAAAAAGGATGCTGACTCCTTCTTTATATGAATTGCGAAACAGAGTTACTGCAGTTTGGATGAAGCAAGGTGTGTCATTTTAGAGGCTTTTGTCTGAAGGTGAGAGCAAACCCTGGCGCACTGAGGACGTCCGCTGGCTCACATGGCTGGGAGGGCAGCAGCAAGGTGAGATCCAGGCGAGCTTCTCCCGGGCCCCTCACTGGGCCAAGCCCTGGGATAAAAGCACGGTCCCTTCCCTCACTGTGCACACCCATGGCTGAGCGTGTCTCTGGGCACTCATGCATGGATTCCAGATGGATAACAGTATTTATGGGGAGACTTGCTCACGCATTGGTCCCTGGGGTGAAAGGCGTTTGCTAAAGAGTGAGGGACCTTCTTTCCCAGAAATCCTGACACCCTTCTCCTCATAGGTCCTTGGCCCAGTTTGGCCTAGGGCAGGGCTTTCCCAGCCCAGCACAGTGATCTTCGGGGCTGGATGATTCAGTGGGTGGGCTGTTCTGCACAGTGTAGGATGCTGAACAGCATCCCTGGCCTCTGTCTGCCCACTGGATGCTAACAGGATGCCCCCAACCCCATTCTTTTTTTTTTTTTTTTTGCGGGGTTGGGGACAGAGTCTCGCTCTGTTGCCCAGGCTGGAGTGCAGTGGCACCATCTCAGATCATTGCACCCTCCGCTTCCTGGGTTCAAGCGATTCTCTTTACTCAGCTTCCTGAGTAGCTGGGCTTACAGGCACGCACCACCATACCTGGCTAATTTTTGCATTTTTTTTTTTTGTGGAGATGGGGTTTCACCATGTTGGCCAGGCTGGTCTCAAACTCCTGACCTCAAGGGATCCACCTGCCTCAGCTTCCCAAAGTGCTGGGATTACAGGCTTAAGCCACCACACCTGGCTGCCCGGCCCCCTGCCGCCAGCCCCATTCTTAACAATGGAAAAAGTCTCCAGACATTGTTAAATGTCCCCTCGGGAGCAAAACTGCCTGTGTTTGAGAAGCACGGGTTTAGACCTATGTGTAACTGAACCAGGTAATGAGAACGAGCTTGGAATTGCCCTGTTTGATTTAGACCAGGGATTGACGAACTACAGACCATGGGTCAAATCCAGCCCATCACCTGTTTTGGTACGGCCTGCAAGCTAAATATGGTATTTACATTTTTAAAGATTATATAAGTACCTATATAATACTGATTTTTGTCTTCTAGCCTGCAAAAACCTAAGATATTTACTATATGGCCCTTTAAGAAAAAGTTTGCCAACCCCTAGGTTAACACCAGTCATTCTCAACCCTCACCTTTATGAGTCACGAAATGAAATAATTTGATAACCTATATATGTACATAATTAAAAACAAATCAGAATAGTGCTCTGTCATAGGGAGGAAAAATAATTCAAGGTAAAGTAATATTTTAACAGATATATCTAGAAGACCGAATGAAGTGGTCAGGTACTTGCTCCTGTATTTCGAGTCACCATGGGTGTGTCAGCCACAGTTGCAGACTGGTGCAGCTGTGTTGGAGCAAGTTGAATTTCACACGCAGATTGGGCATTGTGGATGTAATTTTCGAAAAGGATCAACAACTTTTTAGAAAAGTTTCGTGAAAGTCTGATCTCCACCCCAGTAGTTTCAATTCTGGAACACATACAGCGTGTGAAATCATTGCCCTTCTCCCAATTATTTAGAGGATATTTAAGATCTGCTCTTTGCTTGGATCACTGTAGGTGGGTTCCTCACCTCTGTGAATGTCCAGTGGGGCAAAGCCATGCAGAATCTGGGCAATTCTTTGTGGTTTTAGAACGGTCTCGTGCTGTGCAGAAAACCTAGCAGAACTGGCTGCTCTCTACACACCAGTGGAGTTCCTCCCTGCAGTCATTGTGGTCATCAAAAATACCACCTTCCCCAGAGATGTTTCCATCCCTATTGCCAGAGGCTACAAATATGTGACCTGCCTGGGGAAAGAAACTTTGCAGATGTGATTAAGGGAAGTCTCTTGAGATGGGGGGATTATCCTGGATCATCCAGGTGGCCCTGATGTCATCACAGGGGTCCCTATAGAGGGAGGCAGGAAGTCAGGGGTGAGAGAAGCTGCCGAGGTGCTGGCTTAGAAGAGAGAGACTCCAAGCCGAGGAATGCAAGTGACCTCCAGAAAATGGGAAAGGAAACAGATTCTTTCCTGAAGCCTCCAGAAGGAACACAACCCTACTGACACTTCGAGGTGTTTTTTTGTTTGTTTGTTTTTGCTTTAGCTTTTATTTTAAGTTCAGGGGTATATGTGCAGGATGTGCAGGTTTGTTACATAGGTAACCATGAGTCATTTGGGTTTGTTGTGCAGATTATTTCATCACCCAGGTATTAAGCCCAGTATCCATTTAGCTATTTTTCCTGATCCTCTCCCTCCTTCCACCCTCCACCTCCGTTAGGCCCCAGTGTGTGTTATTTCCCTAGTGACACTTGGATTTTAGACTTCTGACCTCCAGGACTATATAAAAAGAAAAAAAAAATGTGTGTTGTTTTAAGCAGCTAAGTTTGTGGTAATTCGTTCCAGCAGCATAGGAAGCTGATACACCGTCCCTTAGAGGAGCACCTGTCCTGGGAGAGCCCCAGCCTGAGCCAGTCAGAACCCACCTGCGGATGGACCTGGGTTCCAAGCCACGTTGTGGGTGGTCAGCAGGGGAGGGCAGGCGGAGGCTGCAGAGGAGTCGGCCACATGGCCACCAGGCAAGCCACTGGCTGAGCTTAACTTGCGGAAACACTGACACCATGCAGTTAAAGCAGCCCGTGTTAGATTTATAACTTCGCCTGGGAAATATTTCCCTCTCTGCCTACCCAAGGCACCCTTCTTGTGCTGATGAAGTTCAAGATTCTGAAGATTTTAGAGCATTTGTCTTTGAAAGGCACAGCTCCTTTGCTGTACTTCTGGGAGTCTGACTGAGTCGCCTCTGAAAGTGATTATGGCGCTCTCCCAGAGAAAAGGGGGGAAATATCCCCCCAGGGGCTCAGACGGGAATATAAGTACCTGCTCTTTTAAAGGAGAGTTTGACGGTTATGAAATTGCAAACCGCGCTATGTAATTTCAGCAAAGGATATTCGGGGTTTGTTCAGAAGAGGCATTGAAATCAAATAATCCATTTATCAAGGTGCCTTTTGTTTCAATAAAAAAGAAACAATGAGCCATATTTAGCAGAGAGAGGCATTCTGTGTCTGGGGAATGTTAATAAATCACCAATGGAGAGAGGAAAAAATATTCAGGTTGGCTGGTGTTTCAAGTAAGCTGCAATGACTTGGAAGGAAAATCCAATCAGGGCTCTCCTTGAGGCGTATGGAGAAAGGCAAGTCCTGTTTTGCAGGTGTCTGATATTATGTGAGTAAACCGGAGATGTCTGATGCAGCAGACACCTCTGAAGTCCTGAAAAGAGCTGTTTCCCTTAATTTCAGAATTTTCTTT